TGTGGGGAATCACATTTGTTTAGAACATCTACAATTTTCTTCCAAGTTTCACTGTGCTGGGGAGTCCCCTTTTTGTATACATAGGGATTTTGAAACACTATTTCTCTGCACAGTATAATATTTTGCTGTTCAGTCCAGTACATAACATTGCTATGTGAAAACAAAAACAAAGAGAATATTAGAATAAAATTCACTCCAAAAAAACCTTTTCTTTTGAATTGAAACTAAATGTTGTTAATCTCAAAGCTAATTTTTATGCTTGTTCAAAAAAGTGAGATTTTTCTTTAATGACATCTAAAGCTCACAAATCTAAAGAGCGGCCTTGCTGAGTGAGGGAGACCTCACCCATAACTTTACACTTTCAGGATTAACAGCAGTGGAATAATGCATTCAAAGCCTGACCAAAGATTCACATTATCAAAACTTCATATGAGATAGGCAACAACATCTAACCTCAAATAAAATCTCTTTTTAGTTCTGATTTTTCTTGGTTTGTTTTCAGTTCAGAGTATTATCTAAAATTTGGCTCGTTAGTAACGATTTCAAAGAAATAAAAAAATGGAAATAACACAATGGCAGAAATGTCAGTCTTACCTTTTGAAATGCTACGCTTTATGACAGTAGTCAAGGTAAAGAACTAATTAAACTTATGTTTCCTCTTATAGTCAGTATAGCGGGCGATTTTTGAAAGTTAGCTTTAATAGGCTCTGTCTAGTTGAGTTTTAATCACACTCAATATCAGGAAATTCAACTTCAGATCATCATGAATTATCAAGCCTGGATCTGGAAGAGACTCAACTGATAAACAGAAAAGTTTTAGATAAATTATTTATGAAGGTAAAATCGATCATCCGTTGATGGAACAACCGATAAAGCTTTATTCTGATATTTCTCATCGGAGCTCTTTGGATTAATCAAAACAAAACGAAGACCAAGTAGAATGATAAGACACCTGATAACTAAATTGTATCATGCATGAGAATAGCCGCATGAATGTAGTAATAATTTCCTTTAACTGTGAAAGAAAATGAGACTTTGGGAAATATTTCAAGGATAATTAGATGACTTACTTTGAAGATCTGCTAGACGCCATTCACTTCACCACGAGCTTGCTCACCTTGAGGGAAGAAAACGTTTTAAACCATTCAACTTTGGTCCTTTTAGTTTCAAAAATGATGCCTAACCCATGAAGAGGCAATAAATTTTAAATTCCAATTAACAGAATAGTTGTGATAGACGGTTAATTATAGTGTTTTGCTTTAAACAACTCACGTTTTCCAGACAACGCCAAATCTCTTCAGGCCGCGTTCTCGAGAGCGGGAGAAAACGCCACGCGCATGCGCTCTTCATCCGAAATTGGAAAAATCACTTCCGGTCGCTTCTCCGACCCACCGCGTCCTCGGTTCTTAAAGTCCCTAGTGTGCACAGGGGTTGACGGGCGACGCTTCGATAATCCAGCCGCGCTAAACGTCGAAAGAAAGAAGTCTTTCGACTATTAAGCCGACTGCAATATGTTAGATAATGGTAATTGAACAGAGTGGAGTGCAATTTGGGCTGAAATCACACGTGATTTCAAAATCGAACGAGCGCGCAGTACGAGTTTGATTTGAAATCACAAGTATGATTTCCTATATTATTACCCCCATTTTGAAATCACTGGTGGTCCCTGTAATCTGATTGGCTCTAGTTAATGCGATTTATTCACGAATCGCACCATTTTTTGCTTTAAATCGTATCTTTTTTTCCGAGCCAATGAGGAGGCTACACTAAAAACAAAACAACAAATCAGATTTCAAGGCTTGTTTAAAGTAGGTAATTTAGTGTTAACAACTGAGTTGAAAACGTAAATTAGCCACCGTAAAGGATAGAAAAGCTGACGTTTCGAGCGCTAGCCCTTCGTCAGAGCGTAAAATTAAATTGCAGGAAAATGAAAGACAAAGAGTATCATGTGGCAAATTTCGCAACTTTTGTTTCTTAAACTCTTACTCCCCCCCCCCAAAAAAAAAAAAAAAGTGGATGAATTTAATTTAAGACCGGCTCAGTACTGCATCAATAAAAATATTTGACCTGACCAAATCCTGTATTTGGGCGATTTCAAAATGGATGTAATAAAGTAGTAATTGAACCTTGTGTCGTGCAATTTTAGGAGGAAAGTGTGCACTTCCTCTATACCGTTCTCTATACATTTCCTACAATATTGACAAGGATAATTTGCCTGAAGATCAAGTATCTTTCGTTGGCCATCATTTCGTTGCTCCCATGACCTTTTTGTTTGCTGCTACCGTAAGGATAAATGAGATACTATTTAACAGCAAAATAGGCGGTTCAGGACTGCATGTGGCTACTGCTTTAGGCAGATTTTGTGCTGCAGAATGCTATAGACAAATAACGTGGGACCTGCTTTGATGGACTTACTTCGGGCTGAATGAGTGAAGACTAAGCTTGGCTCCAAAAGGTTTATTCTAGTTCATGTCGAAATCCAACAAAGCTACCAAGTTTTCCGAGAAAGCTTTGCCAACTGCCGCAATAACTCATCAATTTCGGTAAAGCGTAACCAAAACATCAAAGCTTTGTGGATTTATGATGCAAATTAATTCTTTGCATATTCTGTAAAGTGTCCGTTCCATCCGTAGTAGGCACCGGCCATTAAATGAAGAGGGTGTATATAGCTTTGAGCTCTGCATATCTTGAGTGTTCACCGTTCAACCCCCGGAATAGGATTTTTTTCCTGTACTGCTCATTTTCTCATTCATGTATCGTTTACAAGCCTTTCTTGTGCACTTAAGCTAAAACTTGAGGGGGAAAGCACCATTTCAGCCTGTGTTCGAAGCGGTCTTAAGGCGCTCAATAAAACTTAGATAAGCCGGCAAGGGGAAACAATTTTTTCATCCCATTCGCTCTCACGGTTTTGTCGCTTTAAACCTCAGCCCCATGAAAAGATGAAAAATAACAAATAGAAAATAAAGAAATAAATAATAATAATAATAATAATAATAATAGCAAAAATAGAAATACTACTACCGCTACTAACATACAATCTTAGTCATGGATTTAAAAAATAAATAAATACATGATAATAATAACAAAAATAATAAGGTCGCTCCGAAATTTGGAATGTTGGTTTTCGCGGAACTGGAGAGGAAAGCCAGCGAAACCTGCTGAGCAAGGACAAGAAACAAAATGCTCAACACACCTGTGGCACGGGAATCTAACCCGGGGCACAGCGATGAGAAGGGAGCTCTCTCATGACTAGACTGCTCGTACGGTGTTTACACCAACACTTTTTGTTCCCAAAATGCTGACCTAAGAGGGAGGCGCTTAAACGGCTAGAGTGATGAACACGACAACGCCTTCACTTAAGGACTGAAGAAATAACTACGCAGAAGACAACGAGAATTGGGAAATAAGATAAGATCTGTTATTAGCCGTAAAAAATCCTGACAAGTAAATGATAGGAATTCACTTCCTGTGAATTAAATACACGGTTCCGACGAAATAAGGAATAAATGTAAATAACGATAGGCATCCTTTTGTTAACGTACTGGAGACTGTTTTTGAATTGTGCAGCGAAAGAAATCGTGAAAATGAAAAGGGATTAGAATTGATTTTCATTGTCTTCGGAGTTGATTCCTGACCAAGCCCATTTCCTTTATAACTTCCTGGAGCCGGTTCTCGAGGTATGCCTGGAAAAAATACAAAAGGGAATGAAAGAAAGAAAACCCTCAACTTGTCGCGCAACATGAACAAATTTGTTGCGTGACAAGTTGTGAGTTTGATGAAAAACAAGCAACAAAGCCAAAATTGTTGCACAAAGTAGATTCGCGCTCTACTTTTCGCAAAAAATTTCTTCAACATGCAACAAATGTTTTTTAGGGCAACAAGTTGATCATGCATGGTGAAAAACGGGAAACATCGACCAAAACTTGCAACGAAACAATGTTGCGCGATATGTTGAGGGTTTTTGTATCTCGTATTTCGCCGCCTTAATAAGAGTGAGCCTAAAAATTTCATTACCTGCAGAGGTTCAAGTTGTCTAGCTTCTTAATTAAGGGTTGGATTAAGGTTACTTCCTCCGTTCAGAGGCCGAAAATATTGATTTTTCTTTTATTTGACTTAACTGAAATCAAACATTTGACCTAACGTTCCCTAAAGAAAAATTTCTGAAATCTTTAAAAGCACCCGAGTTATTTTGAAAAACGCATTTCGAATAAAAGCCATGCATCAGGAAGGTGTCATAATCTTGTAGCCGGGTGAATCCCCTGGGAGAATTTTCGCGGCAACCGCACATCTTGGGGCTTGTTTTTCATGTCATTTGCATATTTTATTTAGAGCGCCACTTCACAAAATTTACACGTGGAAGCTCTATGATAATGAAAGAACGTTTGTTCATGGGAAAATCAAAAGCGGAGGTAAGTACTTGAAAAAAATGAAAAAAATAAATGAACAGGCTCAAAGAAGAAAGAAAGAGTACCATTCTATCAAGAAAAGAAAATATCCTTTGTGAAAGCGACTGGTACTGGCGGAGCTCCACTCTGACGTCCAGATTTCGAACAAAGAAGTTGGTGTCAAACCAAAATTTGTTATACATGATGTTGTAAACGAAGTTTCCTTTTATTTATTGCAAGTACGAGCCTTGATACTAAAACATTGACAACCCCATTGAATCGTAATTTTGAAAACTGTCTGTCGATTCGTTGTTTTCCCATTTTTGCCGCGGGTTTTTCCTTTGCCTTTAGCAACTTTGCCCATTATTGTGTCGTCCTTCTCAACACTCCACTGAGCGATCGAGATATAAAAAAAAGGGTCGCAATGGGTTTCTTTTCCCGGGAAATTTTGATCCATCGTCATTGATGCCAGGAGGTCTCGTTCTCCCATTAGTTTGAGGTTTCGGAAGGCGAGATAATTTCCTGATGTGGCGCGAGTTGTTAGCGAACCTTTATAGGCTAAAATCTCGCATTTGATTTTGGGAGGAATAAAACCACTTTGAGTGTATTTATAGAGTGTTTAGATTTGACCGATTTTCGTCAAATTTCTCCAAAAATTCCAAGGATAATTACAAATGAAAGTGTGTTCTCCAGAGGAACTCTCGGTCGTTTCACGCCTTACCGGCTCCTTACACTTGCACCACGCGAAGGGGGGAAGTAACCTTCAGAACTCCAGTTTCTTATCTTGCGATAGTTGACGAGGGCTCATAATCTAATTGTTTTAGCATTAACTTACTAGTCGTCCCAGTTACCCAAAACTAAACAACAAGATAGGCTTGTGTTCTTTGTTTTATCAAATATCGGGTTGTGTTAATTGCATTAACACCAAACGAAAATGAATATGTATGATCCTTTTTATGAAAATAATGGGCGGAAACCAGAACCGGGAGCAAGATGTTCAAAGATAAAGTGACAACAGAGAATGCCATGCACTGCAAGGCGTCTAGGTTATATATAGTTTAAAGTTTATCTAGTTTATATCTGCTTGTTCTCAGACAATGGGGAAGGTTCAATCTATATACTGCACACGATATTCCAACTTGTTTCCATTGAAAATTTCGAATGCAAGTGAACGGCACGTTAAAAGCATTTGAAAGCCATGTAAATATTTTTCCTTATCACACAGTGTTATCATATGCTTTTTAGTAAGTTCTTGTGTATTGCAATTTGATTGGTTACTTAAACAAGCCTTGAAATCTGACTATTTTGTTTTGCTTTAGTTAGTACAGCTTTCTCATTGGATGGAAAAAAAGGTGCCATTTCAAACAAAATGAAATTTCTTCTTATTTATTTATCTACTACGATCCTACTGGTAAGTCAACTTACTAGCAAGGGTAGAGCGAATAAGTTTTGAGGGTGGAGGCAGCATCAATGATCAGAGCGGTCAAATTTTCGTGTTTAAAACTTTGAAATGATAGTTACGAGACAATGAAAAAACATGAGTCATTAATATCGAAAATTTTGTTTTTAATCAATCACGTATCATGGGGTCAAAAAAAGGGCAGGAGTCACGAATGTCGAAGGTCAAATGATTCTCCATCCACCCTCGAAAATAATTCAGTGAATAGGTAATTAAGGATTAAAATGATGATACAAAGGAAGATGGGAAGATCTACAGTAGCTTACCTTGTCCTCCTTTGTCCTTTTTGAGATTTTTTGCATGTTGGGAACTCGGCTCAAGGTAGATTCAAGCTGCAATTTTTAGACAGAAAGCGAAATCAGCTCTCACCAGCGCTCACCTAGGGCATTTTGCGTCACTATAACATTTGTGCCAGGTTCAAAATTTTGTGTTTTTGGAGAAACTATACCGGTTCCAAAAGGCAAAAACTAACTGGTTCACCAAGCGCAGTTACCGCTTCTTATCTCCTCGAGTAATTGAAATTAAAAAAAAATTATACTTCTTTTAAGCGAGGCATTATCATTCATTCATGTTTTTTGCAACGCGTACCATCGCATTTCGAAATGAGCTCTGAAATCATACCTTTATTATAGGCAAAAAAACTTTGAATTACACTGTCACATGAAGAAAGCAGAGAAAACCAAACTCATTTGTTTGGTTGCCAATCAAAACAAACCCGTTTTCGTTCTTCAGTGAGAGTAGAAAGCTTCTTCTCCAACATAGCAGGGATATCCTCCATGTTCACCTCCATGTCCTTGCTTATCAGCTGGAAGATGATTCAATATTCAGCAATGTTCATGGAAAGATAGAATTGAGTCAAAAGATAAGCTCATCATACGTTTGACATTTACAACTGTTCGGAAATAGCTATTACGAGGTACCACAACCGTTTCGGTTATGATGCAGACCGAACGTTTGGGGTATTTCGTAATACGTATTTTCGACCAGTTCTTGGTGTGCTCGTAGAGCGCGTATTAAAATATTGCTTCGGTAATGTTTAGTGTCGTCGTATATAAAGGGGTTAGGCAAGTTTCTAAAGAAACTGTGGTGCTGCGTTGAGGAGGAGAGGGGCGGAGGTGGGGGCATTACAAGATAATTTGGTTTTATTAACTGAGTGGATAACGTAAACTGGCCTGCGCAAAAAGTTTCCAGAGCTGACGTATCTGAGAAAGTAAGCCAGCTAGGTTCACAATAATCATAGCGAGAAGCCCCAACACACGAGCAAAGTATCCGTCCATGATACAGATTTCTTTCTTCGCCCATACTCATATTGACATAATTGGGAGAAGAACTTGCGGTGATTCCTCCGTATTACACTGCCTAATCTGTACTGCGCATAAAAATCACGTAATCAGGCAAATATGTGTGTGTGCATTTACCAGGTAAAGAGGTACGATGGTCCTTAGCTCCTGAACGAGCACGGTCACCTACATTTTTTAGTGCATAATTTTGTTGTACAAATGATCCCCTTTAGATTAGAGAAATGTTAAGAAATTAATTAAAGGGATAAAAAGGGTATGGCTAAAAGCTTGCACAAAGCCCGTTACTCGATGATGCAAATTATGATCTTGAAAGTAACGACTCAAGAAACGTTTTGAGTCGTTGTCGTTTAAAATTGCGTGACTTCTCCTCAAATGATGTATCAAATTGTTCCATACGTTGGAGATTCTTTACCGAGCAAGTTTTTTTCAAATGTTACTTTAAAATCCCTTGCTTCCAGGTACCTCAAAATGAACCGTGAACCGACGAAATGACGCGCGTGATCAGTGCCAGTTCAGGTATAAATGGGGAAAGTTTGGCTCCTCATATCTCTTAAACAAGCACCGTGAACAATCTTTTTAATAGCATTTTTCGAAACAGACATTGGTAGGGAACAATTAAGCGAAATTTTAAAAAATTGTTCGACAATTTTTTTTTTCTGAGGAATCACCTTAAGATGCGGACTCGATACCATAAGAGCAATATCGTCTCATTAACCAAGTGTGAAGATCATTTTTGTGACGGTTGAACTATTTTAATACAACATTAAAAGAAAGGAGACATGCATGCTCCACTTAAAGCAAAATACTTGTATTATGCGAATAATACAAGCCAAGTTAGTGCAATGTCATGAACACAAGTTGTTTTTTTGACTTTGCCATGTAATTGACAGCAAGTGAAACCAATTGAATACGTTCCAATGTAACATTTCCTGAAGTGTTTAATTTACTATTACCTGATCACCTTTGGCCCCGAAGTCCTTCTCAGGAACGTTAAACATCACTACAAAATAATTATAATTTTAAAAAACATAGTAATAAAAATAATGATGATTCTAAACACACGATGATTAAAATGATAATAGAAATAAACATAGGCATGCTACACATACAAGAGTTACAGTTACAGGTAACATCAAGTTCATGGATTGCAGAGCCGGATTCGAAACATTTGCTGTATTGAAAAGTAGAACATGTAAGGCAGAAATTATCAGAAATTCAGTATCTGGCGTCAGGTGGAATATCGACCATTCACCCCAATCTGTTTACTTCAGGAATACGCGCCTATTTAAAGAAATGCTTTGCTTCCAACACCATACGTTCGTAAGTTCGACTGCTTCGCGCTATTCATCTTGCTTCTTCAAAAAAAAGAACCTGAAGATCGTTTGTTTTAAGCGCATCGTTGAGAATTCATTCGTAGATATAGTAATAATTCCTGATGTTGGCTGAAGAGCTTACAGCCCTACGAAACGACTGCTACTGAAAAAAGAGTGGTTTCTCAAAGCAGTTTCGCTCTGCACGCATATTCAGGAGACACTTAATTCGAAGGCAATGTTCAAACCGGAAGCCTCTGCTGGACAAGGTTAACAAAGCCTTTTGGACGAGAATGATTTCCTAGGCATTAACCTATCACTAATTAACAAGAACTTCATACGAACCTCTTTGTTTAGGTTCTTCGTGTTTTCCCTCCCCACCAACACTGAATGGTGAGTCACAAATAAGACCGGCGACCGCATTATCCCCTCCAGAGGTGAAGCTTGTTTCAGTTTGTGCAGGCTCGCCGTATAAGCGTCTGGTTCGTCCAGTGTGGGTACGAATCATCTCCTCACCAGACTGACTGTTTTCAAACACTACATTAAACCTTTTTCAATTAAAAAGAAAAGAAAAAAAGTGAAGCATGATTCAAAATTCCTCTGGATATCGTTAAACTATATCTACCTAGTTCCGTATTTAAGGAATACGAGTCAGAGTTATTCCTTTGTTTGTGGAATGAACTTGGCCAACTTTCAGGGTTAACACGTCTCCACATTGTTTGTGACCTGTGAACGGGGGCTGAAATAATTTTTTCTTAAAGGTAGTTTACCGATGCTATTTTTTTGTTGTTGTTTTTTTTACAGGATCTCTTTTTTTCGAGGTCTTCCTTAGACCTGAATTTTCAAGGTTTATATTTTCGAGGTATCATTTGTTGTCGTCATAGGTTTCGAGATCAGGTTCCTCACGGAGGTAGAACATTAGGTTCAACCAAGAGCATCAATTAATCTTTACAAACAATGAGCGATAACGGCTTTTAAAATCAAAAATTAAAATTTTAAATCAACCATGGTGCGAACACGTACATGATGGTCGCACTCACCTCGTCAATAGATCTGTTTTCTTAACCACCATTCCTGGTTGTGAGGTAAAGGGGCCTGACTCCACAGTGTCTGGGCTCTCTTTGGGGGCAAAACTTTTAGCCTGGTTCTTTTTGCTTTGACGGGTTGGGGTTGAAAAAAATTACGGCCTTGTTTTATTTTTTCATAAAATGTTCAGCTTTCTGACGGGGAGTGAAAGGCAAATGAAGTTATATCATTTTTCCAGGGAAGATCATGCAATCATTAAAAAAATTGTGCAAGGAATTGAGCAAATTAGGTGATTTTCATGGAAATGTTGTTCAACATCTCTTTTATCGTACAAGACTAAAGTTTTGTTCCATTATCTCACACGAAGTAACTCAGCACTAGTAGCAGCAGCCACAAACTGCTTGTTTTTTAAAAAATCTGGATGCGTTGACAATGGCTGCCGCACAATCACTCACTGCTGAAATCAAAGGTTTTGGACATTTTTGAGGATTTTTTTCCGTCAAATAACCTTGAAATAACGCTAAACTTAGGACGATTTTTATTTATATATTATAGTATACTATAAAAAAAAAAGAAGGGAAAAAAAAAAGAAAACAGTTTCGCAAAGTAGAAAAAGTAGAAAAAAAAAAAGAATCTTCAGGTTTGAAACCAGTGACCTCAGCTATCATTGTCCTCACCATTATGGGTAGTATTTGCATATTGAGTCATAGCGAGACTCCTTTTCTGCACTAAATGCATCAAATGAATAAACATTAGTACATACCCACTGGTTGACAGATCCTGCTTCTTAGCATAAGGTGTTGCTACTTTCATTGCATCTGGTAATGGTGTGGTTGAAGCACTGACATGTGATTGACAGTTCGTCATGTCTGAGTTTGTGTAGTCTCTCCCTGGATCCGAGCCAGAGTAAGTCAATTGGCTCTCAGCTTGTTGCAGTCGTTTCTTTAAAGGAGTTGACTGCTCCCAAGTCTTTCTTCCAACGAATGGTTTGCTTTTAATATTGGATGCTTCTACATGACTGCACAAAAAGAAAGAGGAAAACCCAGTCCACAAACGTATAACTTTTACCCACATTTGCAGCAATGGTTCCAAAGAAGAAGTGGTTGTTCACAAAGAAGTTGGACGACTTGCGAACTAAATTTTGTTGAGGTCATTAGTGGTATTCGCCAGCCATTATGCTGACATTTAAATTGTCAGATTGATCCTCTCTGAATTTCAAAAATTCTAGCTAAATATTTATTACTGCACAAAGTTCTAGAGATGATTTCTATTTTGCACTCTCATTCATCTAAGAGATGCCGTGACTATCCAAGGTGGGACATGCGTTCTACTAAACTTGTGGCCAATAGCCCTTCCCTAGTGAAACTGAAGAGAGGTAAGAGGACAAGACCCATTCTACGTTTGCCGTAATAGCAAAATGCGATTTCTCTAATATTTAGAAGTTTCCTCATTGGAAAACATCAGGTATAGTATGTTAACTTCATCTTGATGCCTCTGTTCACACAGGAGTGAGCAAGAGACACATTTGCATTAACAGTCACCACTATGACTCAGGTGACCAATCACATGCAGTGCCAAGTTTGGCGATGATTGGCATCTATCAAGAAATTAAGTTGTCAGTTTGAGCTTTATGGTTTCTGTAAGTAACTAAAAAAATACCTTTTGTCATGTTCCCTTGCCTGATCATCTATCATGCTATTTCTAGAGATTAGTTTTGAAATAGTTCTGAAAATATTCAAAGGAAAGGGTATTAGTTTATTCATCTTACAATTGTTTTATCTTGAACTAAAATATTGTACCAGGCCCAAAGGCTAGAATTTTAATACTTTGTCAAACCAGATGCATGTCACCCTGAAGCATAATAATTCCCTTTAATTGTTTAGAGACAATTAAGGGGTTTAATAGCCCACCAATCAGAAGTGCAGGTGCAAGGAAAATAGCTTCAAGCAAAATTCTGCTTTAGTATTGAGCTTACAGCTGCTTGTGAAGAGGCTGTGAGGTGCTTTTAAAAAGAATGGAAAATTTGGTCTTTAATCCTTGCCAGAAAGTACTCTATAACTTTCAGTAGTTTGGTTAATTTAAAGAAAGGCAGAGAGGACTTTTTCTACAAATTTTGATCAAAATTCCATTGATAGATTAATACACAGTAAACGTCTGGCAAACTCTGCCATAATTTACTCTTCTTTGGACAAACTAAGTGTGTCATTTATTGGAGAGGAAAAAATAAACCTAATTTTCGCCTCATATTTCTCTGACTTTGAGCTATCTTTCATTGAGTCTTCCACTTGCCAAGCATATTTAGTAGAGTTTTTCAGTTACTGGATCACAAGTACTTGTCTATGATTTTGCACTTGTGTTAATTTCCAATTGAGCCTTCTATCACTAATTAGTAAGTTCTCCCACCACCCCTCAAGGGAACAGCTTATCTGAAAAGCTGGCTTTGTCCCTCGATGATGATAACAATTACTAGTTGTATAGGTGGGAAAGGCAAGGGAACCAACTGACTGGTGGGTAGGTCACATGGGCAAATTGCTTCATTCTCTGAAAACCTGGACTAAAGATACACCTTTTTTTCATCCAAATTAATCCTCTCAGTTTAAGGAGGCAGTATGTTGTTTCTATACTTCCTGAAATACAAGTATGGTTGGCTCTCTAAAATTATCTTAGCTGTTTGCCTCATGCCAGACTGTTGAATTTTAATAAGAGATTACTCCCTAAACACTGAAATCAAGAGAATTCCCACACAAAAACTACTAACTACATTATGTCTTTGATAGATACGATAATAATGTGATAATAATCAATTTCAAAACAAAAAGATTTTTAGTGCAAAATAGAATCCAACTTGGCTTACTCTCTGAGGCCTTCCATTTCACATTCGGATGATTCCAGCCTATTCCGCATTGCTTTGGAAGCATCCTATTAAACAGAGATGCATGATAAATACAGTTAACCTCTCATAACATACATCAGATAATAAAAACTGTATATAGTTCTATGTAACACCAAAATTAAGGACTTAAATAGTAAAACATTTTTTTTCAGCTTGGGTGTATGTATCTTGGTATAACTTTTACAAAACATTTTTCCCCTTAACTATAAAAAATGGAAGAGAAATTGCTCTCAGCATGGCAGCTGCATGGCTTAACAACTAATACCAGTAAGTTTCTTGATGGTAAAAACACTCACTCTCGCTTCTTGGTAATCTCTGGCTAAAACATCATAATCCGCCAAGATCTGTTAGAAAAAAGTCCAAGGATTGTACATTGTCAGATGAAATAAGACATTTACAATCCATGCTGGTATGCCTGATGGACAGACAGACAGACAGACGGACAGGGTAATTTTGTGTTACCAACTGAGTTGAAAATGTAAAATGGTCACCAAAAAAAGTTGAAAGGCTGATATTTTGAGTGTTAGCTCTTTGTCCAAGCAATATAATCGCTCTGATGAAGGGCTTTATATATTATGCTCTCCCACCCACCCACCACCAGTTTCTTTAGAAAAAACAGACAGACAGACAGACAGACAGACAGATATATAGATAGATAGATAGATAGATCTGTTCAGCTGGGAAGACAGATACATTCACAGACATATAGATAGACATAAAGGCAGTCAGAGAGATAGATAAATACAGAAATATATAGATAGAAAGACAGATGGCTACACAAACAAACAAATAGATGAAGGGGCAAGTACATGGACAGACAGACAGATGATCACGAAATACCTGAGTCCATCCAGTCCACCTTCAAAAATAAACTACTCACGCTTTGAAGGAGGTCCTTGTCTTTTTTATTGCTTGCTTCAGATTCTTTCTTTTCCTTTAGAGAGAGTGTAAGTTGTTTAATATAATAAAGTCTTAATATTAGTAATAATAATAATAATATAGAGTGTGGATATCAACTGGGGTGTCTTTATCTGTACTTTACAAAAACAAAACTAAAAGTAACCAATACTTACAAATAATAAATAGCGGAACTAATAGCAAATAAATCATTGACTAACTGAACCCTGAACTATTGAAAAGACTTTCTAAAATAAAAAGGTCTTTAGTAATTTCTTAAACATATCTCTGCTTGTTAACCTTCAAATTGAAGGAGGCCACACATTTGTGCAGCACTCTAACGTGTTCTGAAGTCATGAACATGCAGAGAAGGTAATAAGAGAACAGTTAGTGGGGGACAAATATGACCTCTACAGCTTCTTTAGGAGAGAATAACCATCTCTTCAACCAAAGGGAATAGCTCAAGGGGGTAGCATCATTATCAGCCGTCTATAAACCCTGCTATAAGCACTGAAAAGGATAAGCAATGCGCTTTTACAAAGGTATTATTTGAAAATTTCAACTAGTGAGTTATCAAAATCTTGACATTCTTGGAGAGTAAAAATTCTTAATATAGCAGTATCAGTACAAACTCTCATTTATATATCTCCTCTTCATAAGCATTTGTTAAGTCATTTAAATCCAGATTTAAATTTGAAACAGAACCACACTCTTCAACCCAGGCATTTTTGTTATACAACAGACAAATTAAAAAAGTACACTTGTGCCTAGAGTTAACCCAGTAACAGGTTACGAGGGCTTACAATCAATCTCTTTATCACATTTCATATATAAAGAATTTGTCACTTAGTGGGTAATTTGTTAAGTATCACAATCAACTCTCTCTGACTCAGTTGCATCTGTGTAACTTGCAACTTAAATGGTACCCTTCTGTATTTGCATGCAAATATTGAACAACCATTCACTAAAGAGGAGGTGGCTGGTGGTGGATGTTAACCAAGTTACAAAACCAAAAGTTATCTATTGCTATGGGCATGGGGTGGGTATGCTGAAGCTTCTAATTGATCGGCTCATAATCATGGGCCTATTTGACTCCCTGTCCCATGATTCCCTTGTAAAGCTTAACTTTCTAGGCTAAAATCAGCATCAAAACAAGTTGAAATATCAGGGCTGAAGAATCCTATTAATGTATACTTTAGAATAACACTCCTGTTTATACCACACTCTTAATCATTGACAAGGCCCCCCCTCCCCTGCCCATTCAAAGTTGCCTGTATTTTGCACTAAAAGTTAATGGAATCATGACACAACATTGTTTAGGGGGAAGGGATAAATAAGTTAACTTAACAAAGCCAAAAGAGATGAAATTTAAGTAATAGGGGGTTGGAAAGGTCAATTTGTCAACAATTTTGTCACCAATTGTAGGTAAGCCCTTGTCTGTCACTTGCTGCCTGCTTCATATACAATGTGTGATGAAGTTGTCGAGGAAAATTACTATTTATATCTATCAAGCCTATCTGAAAGCAAAATGATCACAAATACCTTGATTGTTTTTTCCACAAACAGTGACAGTTCTTTCATTTCATTCTCCAGCCTGGCAATCAACTCATCCTTTGCAGTGCACATAGACTTAAGATCATCATATTTCTGCTTGACTTGCATGTTCAACTTGTGTACTGATTCCAGCTTCACAGTTAAGGCTTCCTGGTAAAGAAAATTTTTAAAAAAGTGGTTTGTCATAAAAATGTTTGTTTTCTCATCATCAAGTTCAAATTTAAAAACTAACTTGTTTTGATATTGATAACAAAAATTTATTAGTTATTGCCACATCCTCTCATAAATTGGCTGTGTAAAACCTGATTAAAAGAACACAGTTCAATGGAAATGTTTTTTTAAACTGTTTAAACATTGCTCATTGCAGCTGGAGAGATCTACCACGGCTGATTTCATATCAATTGAGACAAGGTGAAATTTACAGTTTCATATCTCTCATGGGCTACTGAAACCATATTAACCCTTCCACTCCCATAAGTGACCAAGACAGAATTTCTCCCTACAATGCTAATACAATATTAACCAGATATTTAGTTGATCCAACACTAAATTCTCTGAACTAACATTATGAGAATTGTATGGTTGATAGTAAGGAGAATAACAAATTTTATTTGGGAGTTAAAGGGTTAAGTACCATATTCTCTATGGCTGACACATCAAGACTTGATCACCTCACGTTTATTTAGACCAGCCTTTTCTCACTGCCATAGGAATGTTGTTCAATTCCCATATCCACATCTCCAAATTTTTTACCCACAGCACACCTTAACATAATTATTTAATACATTAATTTAGAGCAAGTGATGACAGAAGTGATACACTGAATCACCTGACTATCAAGGATGGTGAAAATTTCTAGTCTAAGTGATTAAATGCAAATTTAAAGAGCCTGTGTTCTTTGTTCTAGGGTTCAAGTCTAAAATAGGGGCCCTACCCAAGGCCTTAAAATATTTTAATAAAATCACAATAGTCATCTTACCTTTTCTCTTTTTGATGTCACAATTTTCTCTTCAAATTCTTCAAGTTTTCTAGGAGTTAAACAATATAAATTCAATTAAAAATTTTTACTTCTTTTAAATGCTATTAATTTTCCGCAGAAACAAATTAGCCACTAAACACTTTTATCAATGACTTAATGCTTCCTAATAAAAAAGAGATAAATACCAGTAACTAGTGTTATCCTTTGCTAATTTTTATTGAGAAAAAATTTCCATACCTTTTACATTCCTCAAGAGCGTTTTGATACTGCTTAATTTGCACCTCCAACTTTTGATTATCAGACACACAAGATTTGTATCTTGACTCCAGGAGTGACTTTGATTCTTCAATTTCCTGGTTTTTATTTGATGTTTTCTGGTTAATTTCTTCAAGGTGATTGCAAGCCAATATTGCCTTTTCATTACACTTAGCAAGTTCTGTAAGCTTGGCCTCAAGATCTTCAATATTCTCATGAAGCTGAGATTTCTCATTTTCACCTGACTTGTTGACCTCTTCTAGATACAAACAGCGCACTTCAAAATTTTGGTTTATTTTCCTCAGTTGTCCACAGCTATTGTCAAGGTCACGGTTTGCTTGTTCCAGTCTTATTGACTTGTTTTTCATTTGCTCACAGGTTTTTTCCAAAACATTGCATCTGGCTTGTAGTTTGTGGATTGCAGCTTCAAGCATTTTGACAGGCAGTGCATGATGAAGATTTTTCAAGTTGTCTCCTACTTCATTAAGTTGTTCACAAATCTTGTCTATTTCTGCTTCAAAATGGCTTGTTATATCTTTCTGCTGCCGAGGTTGCTTTTCACCATTATTCCCCTGGTGACCACTGTGAAAAAAAAAATATTATTGTAATAATCACTTTAAGTGCAACTCTCTTCTGATAGCTCACACCTTTGTTAACTCAAACTTTACTCTAACTTCAATCACAATCTCCCCCTAAATTTCTTCCATACCTTTAATTTTTTTTTTCACCTTTTAATTAATAACTTAAACCCTATGGCTAACTTTTTTATCTGTCTAGTCACTTCCACATCTGTCATTGTCCTGATGTTACTCTCTATAACTAGTTTTACCTTAAAATAGTTTTGTCCATAAGTGTAACTATAGCTAAGATCTGATTTCGAAGATTCTTAAATATTATAATACAATTCTTTGTTTTTACATGTAGGATGTCTGTATAGTTTGTGTGCATGTTGGCCATACTGTACTTCTACTATAAACATGTAATTTATTTAACTTTATCCAGCTCCCTCTAATTTTTAGTTGCTAAGTTATTCCATGGTCTTGTTACCCTCTAAGCATAATAATAATAGTCAACTATTATTTTCTATTTAACAAATTTCTAAAACTTGTGTACAATAAGGTTGTTTTTGTTTTTTTTAATGTTGTAATATCACCTTATCCTCTAGAGCTCAAACCACTATTGATTAGGGATCTACCGAATGTTCAACCTTCTTTGCTTGAATTTATATCAACACAAGTTACTCTGGGAAGCTTGTTTACTTACTTAAGTTAGAACATAACCTAATGACCAATAGGACAAACTAAAAGCTAAATCTTCTGGTGGAAAACTAGGGAAAAATCTTATTGGCTGTAATTTGATACTGTTTGGCTCTAATTTTCAACCACATTTTGACTGTTCCTGTGGAATGCAATTGTAAGCCAGTTCAAAAGATGCTCTCAGTTTGATGCTGTTGAAGAAACTATACATAGTTCCTTTCTTTCTTTCTAACTGTTTGTTTAGAAATGTCATGCAATTCCAAAGATCATTTTTGTTTTTTAGCAGCTAATTTTCCAAGCTTGTGCAAACCATAAAATTGCTAGATCAAAAATGTTTTCTAAGTATTGAAAGCCTGGCAAAAACTGTGCAAAAGCTCAGAACATTTGTCCATTTAAAAACCCAGAATAATTCTTGGAATTGCTAGACATTTCTAAAACTCTAGATCTTAAACTCCAAAGAAGTTTCAGAGAACCTTTCATAAAATTTTTGTGAACATTTCTGACCATTGGGCATTTAGTCCACTTAAGACCATTTCTTGTTGCTGGGCATTTTGGCACTGCATACTTTCTACTTGCCAAGATAAAGATGATGTAGTTCCTTGAGAAAATTTTTCCTTTCCAGGTTAAAGGCTTGTTAAAAACAGAGTTATTATATGAACAGAAACACTGGAATAAGGCAAATTCTCACTTACCTCATTAGTAAGGGCGATGACTTCCATCCGAAACCTCCATTGTAAGACTGCATGGATGAGAAAGTTTTGCTGCCAACTGTTGAAGTATCATTGGGGGTTTCAGGACTTGATGAGACCTTAACACCACTCGGATTTTTCATAGTGTTTATAATCTCATCTAGAGTGTTTTCTGTTCGATCCGCATACAGTCTCTGTTGAAAATTTTGGATTGTTTGCCGGTGTGTGCTATCAGATGATTGGCTGACAGTCTTCTTGTGAACTGCGACCTCTTCACTATGATCGAAATGAACTGCTGGCAGAACTGTTTCCTCATGAAGAGGTTCGCTTCCAGTCATCCCTGCAACATACCTGTCATCATCAGAAGACGACTGCAAAGATACTACAGATCCGCTACCATCAGAGTCTTGCGGCCGTACTGGCTGTTCTTTGTTCATCTCAACATCCTTGTGCTCCGAGCGATTCTTGCAACTGAAGCCAAACAGCCTGGAATAAATATAATCAGGGCGAGTACAAACCAGTTATACAACTAGCAGCCGCAACACTTCAGAGTTCTGCGGAGCTAAAGGACGTAAGCAATTGTGACGTAGGGTTTTGCACAACATAAGGCAGCGTGGTTAATTAATCGTTAAAACGTTTCATTAATTGCTACACGAAATACATAATTAAGTGAAATCAATGAAGTGAAATTGATTAATGAAGTGAAATCTGACACT